TTGTCACAGCAACTGTGCAACGTTTTGCTGTCTTCCCCCCCGCACCCCGCCCCCCGCCCTCTCACACAGTACGTGGTATTTTTGTGGCTGCTGCTGACGAATGCTGCCAAATTGATGTATGTATGATTTTGCCAGCAGCAAATGCTGCCCGTAACGGAACAATTTGTGGGCATTGGGTCAGCCGGAGTGGCAGACGGACTGCATAGAGCATAGTTTGTCAGATATCTGAAGATTTATAATGGGGCTTCTGCCTGGGCACAGATTTAATGGCACGGTTTCACTCTTTGCCCTTAACTTGTTATGCTTTAACTGTTGCTGTGCACTGAAGTCGATTTCAATAAATATGAAGTGTAGTGCCTCTAGCCCTTTATCGCTCATGCTTGAGCTTAAAGTCTACTCACTTCTATCATTGTATGAAATCAAAGTCTCTCTGTCTATTTCTGTCTCTGTCTCTACTTCCATCTAAGCCCAATTTTGAAAGTGTCAGTCGCAGTTGGAGCAACTTTCATGAACGTTTCACACTTTTTAGCCCGGCAGGTGATAAACTTTCACTAGATAAATCTATTTTGCTGATTTCCCGCTCGTCTGTTCCACTTAAACCAATTTCCTTTTTAGCTACCAAACGAATTAAACTTAAAATAAATAAAGTAAAACCCAACAACAACAACAGCAGCAGCAGCATTTGGGGTGTAGTTTAAATGCTGGTGGGTGCTCGTAAAACTTTCGTTTGACCCTTGTCACGGCGCCACCCATTGATGACACCACCACCCACTCACACACCCGCTCAGCAAGGGTGGCTAGTGCACACAACGCAACACTGTTGTCGTGTAATCAACAGAAAATTGGCAACCGTCAATGTCCAAGTGCCTGCCGTCCATGTCAGCATCGTTTAGCCCAATGCTGAGCAGGAGGACGGGTAGCTGACCGCTTGACCAGCTGACCAGCTGACCGGCTGACCGGCTTAGTGGAGGGTTGTTTGTACTACTGTGTAGTAGCCAAAAGTTGACTTGCCCCAATAAATTGTCGTCTTAGACGCATAGTTGTTGCCTAGTTCTAGGCGTTTACATTAATTTGCCTCCTTTTGCACACATTATCATGTAATCGCTGGCCCATTTCATTTATCATTTCGTTCCATAAATTATGCACTTTGGGTCGGTAGTAGCTTTTCGGTTAGCAAATGCATTTCACTGACCGCCTCGCACGTGTCTAGCATTTCATTAATTTATGTGCACTAACCGGCTGGCACTTGATGCTAATTACCTGTACTATCCCGACCCCGACCCCTACACCGCCCCTGGTCAAATAGTTGAGCTCGCACCTCGCCAGCTGTCGGCGCACTACGTGCGGGATAATTAAAACGATAAGTGCAGTCGGCTCGGGTCCACGGTTAATATTCAGCTTAGAGTAGCCATGCGTAGGCGGTTGCAAGCTCATGTTGCAAGCTGTTCCACGCGACACGCGCCACGGGCCGAGTGCGGCAACAGCTGGAGCTGTAACCACCTGCAACTGAAGCGATTTACGTGACGGCAGTGCACGGCGCTAAATTAGCAATTCCAAGTTATTTTTTTAAACTGCTTATTTAAGTTAAATTACTTAAAGTTTTCCAATTGAAATCTCTAATGTTTCGCTGACTCTTTAAAGCGCCTGCTGACACACATTGGGCGCGAGCTGACACTTCTTGGCTTTATTTATGTTACATTTATGTGTGCTACATTTTCCGTTGGCCGCTTTCCGTTTTCCCGCTTTTCGTGTACAATTTTCGCCAGCTTTGCACAATTTTTTGCTTTCGGCCAGTCATGCAGTCCATTTCCTAAATACATTTATCTCCCATCAAGCTCTCCATTTAGTTTTGTGCAGTCAAGAATTGTGCGAGCGAACAACATGAATTTCAGGGAAAATGCGTGGCCAACGGGTTGTTGGCCCATAGGCGTCATCGAGACGGCGACTGCGGTCCCTAGGCGCCAGCTAAACGCGATCTGCAGTGCGTTGTCCGTTTTTATATGATTTTTAATTTATTTGTATACGTATAGAAATATATATAAATATGCTGTATACTCTACTTAGACTGGAAATAAGTGTATATTAGCTTTTTGCTAGATTTTTATAGAAACTGAAGTTTTTATATATATATGGGTATATATAAATAAGACTTGCCTCTTAGTATATATTCTCCACAATGTTTATCATATGTCAGCAAAGTTTTAGCTCTTACTATCACACTTTGTCAGCTCACATTCATTGCCAGAGGTTCGCTATGTGAGCAGGTATTGTGCAGTCGCCTATGCCCGTTTTCTGCTGTTGTCTTCTTTTTGTTTGGCTGACCAAATGGTGCCAACTAGACGCTGCGCAAAAATTGTTAACGATTTGCCAAGTAAATGTAAATTGGGTGCAATGCACGACAGTGCGTATGCGTGATGTTTGCCAGATAGACAATTTGAAAAAAGAAAAGAAAATAAAAAAAATATAAATAAATGTAAAGATAGGCGACAGCTTGCATTTTAACATAAATGTGCGGAAAAACTGGGCTAGGGCTAAACATTTTTTTTTTGGCAAAGGTTTGGCATTTATTAGAGCTAAAACTAACTAGAACCTAAATGGAAAATATCGCCAGAAAATGTAGATTAAATAGCAAGCTCTACGAATGGCAGAGAATAAATTTACATTTTAAATTAAATATTAATAAGTTCATATTAAATTACATTCTTAGTTTATATTAGCGTAAACAGAAGTAGGCTTTGTTTAATTTAAATTATTTAATTATGTAATCTCTCCACCTCTTTCATTGCTTACTTGGTATCTATCCTTTTCTTGTTCTATGCTAAATAATAAAATAATCATTCAAGTCTTCTCACATTCCCAAATCTCTCACACATTGTAAATCTCACAGCTCAAGCTAACTCTAAGCCCTGCTGTCTCTAATTTGAAAACTTCCTTTTTGCTTGTTATTTAGTGAGTATTTGCCAATTGTGAATTATTATAGGGAGTCAAATGAAATGCAATACGCGTTGCCATAAATCATTGAACGGAAATCCCAGTTACAAATTCTATGCATGCAAATCAATTGCTCAATTGTTTCAATTGAAGCGCAGTCAATACAATAAAATACGAATATGCCCATCCAATCCCTAGACCTGACACGCGGCTCAGCCAGGGCGCAGCGGGCACAGCAAAACAAGTCGCTGGCCATAAATAAATATAGCATAAGCCCAGCGAAGCCCTTCGTTAAAAAACGTCGGAGAAATACGAAAAACAAAACAAAAAAAAAAAAATGTAAAAAGAGGCGAAACAATAATCGCACATAGAATATAAATTTCTGTGCGCTGCAGCACAATAAACTTAATTTGCAAATTCAATTTAAATAATACCACACAGCGAGCAGAGCTAAAAAATATATATGTACCTTATACCACACACACACACACATGTATATATAATATGTATATATATAGTTTTTAGTATATATATATATGCATATATGGTGTATTGCGAGTCTATATAAAACATCACCGCAACAAATTCAATTGTCTGGATTTAGTTTTGTGCCAGCTGCTTCATCTTTTTTTTTCTGCCTGCACGAGGATTAAATTTGTTTAACTGGCATAAATTGTTGGAATTGAAATTGTTTTCTATTGCCAGTGGAATGTGCGCTTCGAATAAGAACAGAGAAATGTGCGAATAAAAAAAATTAAAATATATAAAATGTTGTAAGCGAGCATATTTTAAGTTTGTTTGAAAAGAAAT